TTCATACTTTATATAAGTATATTATACATAAAAATAGCTTTGTAGCTTTGTATAAAAAGAGCTAAAAAATTAGCAAAAGTTTAAAATAAAAATTAACAATACGACATAAAGAAAAGTATATAAAACAAATTATTATAAATGTAATATTTGAACCAAAAATTGTTTTCGAATCGTGAGGTGGAAGAAATAAATAATGATTTATGGGAGATCCGAGAAATGATAAATTGAAATATTAAAAATGAGGCACAGCTTTTATAGGTAAAGTATTAGGAGTGATGGTTTTTAAGATAATAAAATCAGCAAATAAAACACCACCATTTTAATGTACAAAATGATTCAAAAGTCTTCATCCGATTACTAATTAATATAACTTAGCAATCGTAAAATTCAAGAGCTATATAACACGATTGTAAAGATAAAAAAAATAGTAAAGTTTATTTTCAATGAGTATTTTTTTATTTTCATTTTCCCATCAAAGACGTGTCTTGTGAGCATTTATAATGATTAAGAAGTCAGTTAGTGCTACATAGTTATGTACAGAGCGGCCAGTAGGATCATGTATATAGTACTTATAAATTTTACAATAACATTTAAATTAACTATATTAAAACTTGATACTATTTCAAGAATATTTTTTATTCCTCACCGTCTTTGAATTTTCATTTTTAAAATTAATATGAATTTTTGAAATTAGACGAAGACTTTTAAATCACTTTGTGCTTTTTAAGTTATAACGTTATAAACGATTATTTTCTTAGTAAGAGCGCTTTTGTGCATAACTGCGACCTCGTTCTGGTATAATTAAAATTTTAAAATAACAAACAAAAAAAATAAATACTTAAAAAGCGACGAAATAGTACTTACCTACTATTATCACCTAGCAGTTAGCACACTATACAACATATAGCTAATAATAATTCAAAACGTCTTTAGAGATTTTTTTTTATAATAACTATCAGAAGACTTGTGACTATGGCACCAGAAATTAATACTATATAAACACATGACTTTATACGATTTGATACACTGAATGAACTAAACGATAAAATATAATTAAATTATCTCTAAAGCCACTGCTAATAAAACAATAAAAGTATTTGATGTAATGATAAAATATTTTTAAAAATCAAGAAAATAAAATGTGTAATAAGTTTTTTTTCAGCTGATATTATAGTTGTAATTTAATTTTTCATTTAACTTTTTTATATTTTGTTTGATAATCTTTTTTTTTCTCGTTCCAACCATATTTCTAAAGCATATTAAAATGTTTATAAAATAGTTTTTTCACGAGTATTTTCCAAATTAAAAAAAAAAAATTGAACGAAAAAAAATGAGGACGTGGCTTTTTTTTTAATAATGTGTAATTTGATGTTCTCGCAATTATCTAACCACTGACGTAATATTAAACATTTTTTATTTATGATACAATATTCATTGACTACAAAAAATAAATATTGGTAAATTTACATAATAAAAGGATAATATTAAAGAATAAACTATGTATAATAAAATGTTATTAAGTACATATATTTCCAATATTTTTCGGGTGATAAATTACTATAATCAATGTTTTATAATATAATAATTGTGTGTGTAACATATGCTTGCTAAACATGGTTCTTAACAAAAGACGATGAAAGGAAATTAATAATATTTGAGAAAAAAGTACTCCGGAGCATCTATGGACCTCGTCTCAACCAAGAAACCAATACCTATGAAAGAAGAAAAAAACGATGAATTACAGAAATTGTACAACAGACTAAATATCTTAGCGTTTATTTAAAACAAACGACTAGAGTGGTTTGGACACATTTGGAGAGCAGATGGACTACTAATAAAAAAAGTACTTTTTGAGAAAATGAACAAAACAAGGCCTCTAGAAGACCAAAAACCCAGAGAATAGATGTGATAACCAGAGACCTGAAGGAAATATACCAGAATGTAACTTTTGAGCTAACGTACAATAGAGATAGTTGGCGAGACCTTTTGAAGGCAGCAATAGTCCTCAACGAGCTGATAAGCTGAAGAGAGAGAGAAAGAGAAAGAGAGAGAGAGTGCAAAACAGTATAGGGATAGTTGCAATAAATTTTTTCTTCATAAATTATTTTTTTATCAGAATTTTATTTTGTTTTGTAGTAAAACAAGGAAAGAGTGGCATAAAGTTTCAAATTAAAAGTAATCTTAAAAGTTAAGTCACAGCTGATAAATACATTTTTAAGATAATAAATAAAGGAATTATTGAAATACCTTATACACACTAAAGTATATACTATAAATGCAATTATAAAAATGTGTAACAATTCTCTTTTTATAATTAATATTTTTTTAATAAGATTTTGGAAAATCATTGTTCTATATAGACAACCTAGTCATTTAATCACTCAATTGACTCGATTTTAATAATAAATTATTTTTTATTCAATAAATTAAAAATAAATTATCTTTTCCCGTGTTCTTATAACTCTTAGATAGCTAATTTAAAGAGCAATATCATAAGTACAAATGTTTTAAAAATGGAGTTTTTGTTGCTTATTCAAATGGTAATATAACACTTAGAAATAAAGTTAGTAAGTATAATTGTCAAGAACTAACATGGTAAGTTATTCTATAGTCTATACTATACAAATAATATTATATTTTACAGATTCATTTAAAAGGCATCATTCGTAATTTAAAAAAGTTTCTGATTTTGACTTTTTTTAAAAATTCAGAAGTAGACAAGTTTTCTAAAAATATCCACGTATAAATAATATTGAATATCAATTGACTCATACTTTTTGTCGAGTTTATATCATTTCAAATTTTAATCAGAGGAGTGAAGTCTTAAAACTTTAAATATTCAAAACTATATATTATAAGAAAAATATCTTATGTATAGACATTAGACATATGTGATAAATATTTGATAGAGTTATAATTTTATAATATTATACTTTGTAACATCTGGTAATACTCGTTAAAAGCAACTTTTCGCCGTCATACGATTTTATTTAAGTCAACTCAACTAATTTTCACTCTTTTTTTAAGTGTAACACATTCGTGTTTCTGTATGAAAATATGTTATACTTAATAATGTATCACGTTACTATCGAATATCGATACATTGTGTGTACCTGTAAATATAATATGTAATGTATATGTTATATTGTTGTTATATATCTAGTAATTATATAAATTAGCAGGCTAAAAGGAACGATATAAAAGTATCATAGATTATTAAAACATACAGAATGATTCATTTGATCCATGAACTATGTATTTATTCAAATTGGAATTTTTTATTTTTTTATTATTATTTTTAATATAGGAATTAGGTACATAAAAAGTATATTCATATTGCAAATATTAAAACATTTCATACCACTTAAGAAGTGTTACTAAATTTCGTTTTTTCAAAATAAACTACCATATTTTTTACAATAAATTGTCAAGTTTTTATTTATTTTTTTTTTAATGTAGATGTATCTAAATAAAACTTTGAATAGTTTTCTGGGTAATAAACACGATAAAGAGTAATAATACTTATTTGTTTTAAGACTTTGGAACAAATAATTTTAAAAATTAAAATTTTAAAAATAAATTATGCTTTATTATACTTACGTCTGAAAGAAAAGTAAGTAAATTTTTAACATTGAAATAAGTTCTTTTAATTCATTATAAACTTATTAAAGTATATTAAAAAATAAAAATTTTATCAACATTATTCAAACGTCTTATAATTAACGACCAAGCTAAAATGGATTCCATATTTTTGATTCAAACAGTATAGAGAACAAAATAGTTTTTAAACATTGAATATCTTTAAGGTTTCAGCATTGACGCCTTATAAACTCAAACATGCGCATAATTTGACTATAAATAAATATAATGTGTTTTTTTGAATAAGAAAAATCAATTGATAGAACAACACTCAAATATTCAAGAGAATATATTATGTCAGATAAAATTAGATTATTAAAATAATATTTCTAAGATTTCGCAATCAGTAAAAAAAGTTATACTTAAAATTAATTTTTATGTCTAGTAAAGGATATTTGGGCACTTTAATCATTATTAACTTTTAAATGGTTCTCTCTAACTAAATTGTAAAACTAATAAGATCATCTTACACCACCTTAATATCGTCTAAAGCACTCAGCACCATGTACATTTTTAAGTCATCAGTATAAAAGAAACTATTAACAAAAATTGAATATGTTTTAATAATTTACATCATTAATGAACAATAAAAATTACAACAAGAAGAATAGGGAAAAGATTTTGGAGAATACCCGAAGATGACACTTTGTCTTACATTTTGACTTGTTAAATCCTATTCATTAAAAAAGAAACTAACTATGGTAGTAGAGGTCTATTAAAACTTTGAGCGCTAAGTTTATTTAATAACAAACATGATAAATTAAATTAAACGCTTTACTAAGGACAATATATATTATATAGCATACGTTTGTTCTATTTTTTTTCACAACACCGAACAAATGTATAATATATTTTTTTATTATTTTTGTGATGTTAATATTTTTTGAAAACTAACTTTCTTAAGTTAGTATCAAACTACCAAGGAAAATTACATTAATACGTTATGTACATTATAAATTAAATAACATTATAAATATGTATGCAACATTAAAGTTGTAATTTATTGGTAATTATTTTAATTTGTTTTGAACTCGCAGCAACACATTTCGACAGAAGGTGTTGGAATTTCGTATGTCTGATTAAATTATTATAAATTTTATTTGTCTGATTTTGTTTTTTTACAATAATTATTATTGCGTTTACGGAAAGGATTTCGTCATATTTTTCGCCGTATTAAAACGCATTTCGACGTTTTTAACACTACGTATAGTAGGTAGGTATACACTATACCACAGCCGAACAGGAACATAGTGATGTCTACACTTAGGTAGGAAACGTACGACCTTCAATGCGATTCGTTATCACCACGGCGGCGGCAGCGACGGTGGCGCTGATAACAGCCGCCGGCAGAGCCCAGTACGATGATCGCGACCGTAGCGTTGGGACTGCTTCAAGCGGCGGCAATGGCCGTGGTGACGGCGGCTGCGACTTCCGGCGAGTTCCGGTTGACCGTCCTGCACACCAACGACCTGCATTCGCACTACGACGAGACGTGCCGCGACGGGCCGGACGGCGGCCGTGCGGCGCGGCCGGCGCCTACGGCGGTTTCGCCCGGTTGCGCGGCGCGCTGGACGCCGAACGCGCCGGGGCGGCCGCGGCCGTCCACCTGAACGCCGGCGACACGTTCCAAGGCACGCGGTTTTACGACGTGCTCGGCTGGCAGCCAGCCGCCGATCTGATGGGTGACCTCGGTGTGGATGTCATGGTACGTTTGTGATACCGTCGTGACAGTGTTGAATCCAGGTATATAGTTTAGAGGAATTCGCCCCCCCCCATCCGAAATTTATTTCGCGCCCCCTGGCAAATACGGCTTTCGACAAAGCGTATACGTATTTATTGAATGCACAATATAATATACTCGTTACGATTACCGCACGTAATGTCTAAGTATTGTAAATCGTAATAACTAATAGTAGGTATAATTCATGATATAATACCAAAATGGGCAAAATGTATCGCCATTCACCAATGAAAAAAAAAGTGAGCCTCCCCGGAGAAATTGTCTGGATTCAACACTGCGTCGCGAGTTTGCAGATCTCGGGAGGATTAGAAAATATTCGCCTAGGATTTGCACTCGAAACGGCTGCATTTTTCCAACTTTACTTCCGTTTCCCGATTCCCATTCGGAAATATGAATATGTACAGTACGATATTGGTTGTATGCTTTTACGATTTCCGTACATCGTTGCACGATATCGGTTTTAATACGACTTTTTAAACTTACTATACGCCATAGCCCATAGGGTCTCATTAATCCAAACATAGCTGGCTAATTCGAAAGATATGGTAATCCGAATGTACTAGAAAATACCTCACAACACTCCATAGGTTTATCTGAACGGTGTGTAATATATGTATGATAATATATTAACTGGCTGTAAATTCATAATTATAATGATTTTGACTGTATTCGTTGTGTATTTTGACAACGATTTTTTACGAATTAATATACACTATAGGTGAAAATACATTTCAAAATTTAAATTAAAAGAAAATCGATTTTTTTTTTTAAGTAATTGGTTATCCGAATGATCTCTTTTCCTCAATTTCGTTCGGATTAATGAGACCCTACGTGTCTCTATTTTTTTCGTTTTAAAATATAAGTTTTATACATTTTCAAGGTCTTAAACTTTGATTTTTAATTATGAGTCAATATAAGCGCAAGATCATAGTTCACGCGTCATAATAGAAAACTGTGAAACCGGCTTAAAAAAAACGAAATATCAATAGTAACTATTATTATACCTATATCGATGAACAGTTTTAACCTGTTAGTTATTGTTGAATTTGTTTTAAGTATTAACGACATTTTTTTTTTTTTATATATTTTAAATCCATCTATAATTGTTTTGTAAAAATTATAATATAGTCATTATTTGATATAGATTATTAATACTACAAAAGAACTGAAACTTTCATAAATAAATTATATTTTTATTAAAACTTCAAATGTCCATATAAATATCACAAAAGTCAAAGAGAATCAAATTCTTTTGAAAATGTTGTTATACCTAATAAATTTTAACATAATATACTATAAACACTCGAAACTTCGAGTATCTATACAATTAATTATTTTTAAATCACAACAAAAATAAGTTAATTGTTTAATAAGAAATCGTTATATTTTGCCAGTGATTATCAAATGTCATCAAATTTAAAACTTCAAAAAATTATAACAAATGTTTGTATAATACCATTCAAATTTTTTTTTTTTAATTCTAGTCTTAAAAACTTAAAATGAATCTTATATTATAAACTTAAAATGAATACTAAACATTTTATCAGTTTTTACCAACAAAATTATTTTTTCTAACTTTAAACACTTTTGAGAAAATATTGTGACTATTTATTTTCTATTATTTTTAATATAAGTGTTAAGTATAAATAATTAAAAATATTAAATGTCTATGAATTATCCAGAAATTATTTTTAAATATTTTAAAAATAGTATTTATAAAAAATGTTATTATAAAAAATTTGTGTATCATCATTTGTTTTTAGTTACACCAAAACAACAAAATAGATTTGACAAAAATGTATTTATTCATTTTTACTTTCGGTAATTTTTAAAAGTACTAATCTTTTTTTTACCTTTTACCCTCAGAGAACTAACTAGATCCAATTTACTACCAAAAACCTTTATCAAAATCAATGACTGAAAATTTTTTTTTTATTAAAAATTTTTTTTCGGCCACATGAATAAAAACAGACTATTGTAAAATCATAACATTTATCGTTACGCTTAGAATTTAAAATTAACACACGTGTCTAGATTAATAGCCTTGGTTGCTAAAAAGCAAAAAGTTAGATAAATAATTTTGATGACAATTTAGAAGCCTAGTGTATTACGATATTCAATTAAACATCGTGCTTGTGTTATTTTATATTGTGCCGTTCGACGACGACGGTGAACTATTTGTGGTGACACGGATATTTACGAGTCACGACCCACGACGACGTCGGTCAAAACGGTTTTGTGCCTTTTTTAAAAGACAAAAATAATAATACAATTTTCACAACCAGTGACGGGTGATAGTGGAAGGGGGTATGTGGGCCAAAGGGTTTGTGTATATATATTATATATTATATATTAAACAGGAATGATGCGATCCATATGTATACTATATGTATGCGGAGTGGCACACTACAGGGATTCAATGTTATATCCTAGCTATTTTATTCCATTTATTTTTCGATTAACCTTTTCTCGAGACAGCTAAAAGACCCTTGTTGCAATGCGACCCTGTAAATCGGAAATCCAATACGTATTGCATTACAGATGAGCTTTTTGAATCTCTGTCATGGCTGTTTAACATATTGTTAAGCACAATACATACAAATTTCGATGGTTTTCATATGGACAGAGTTTTCGATTTAGAGGGTCTATTTTTTACGTTGTATGAACGATTTTTGTACATAAGAATATTCTGTATGACAATAAATTGACGATATAATGCCCAAAACCATACGAAAATATGTGTATTATCCCAAACGAATGTCGTTCGTACTACATATAAAATAAACTTCCTGAACGTACAACTAATGTAATATAACGACTAGAAAAACGATTAAGCTTGCCGGGAGCCCCATGAGTTTTACTTGAAGACATTTTTCATTATTACTATGTAAGATGAATGACACTTTTAAAATAAGAGCTCAAAACCAAATTTTCTAAGAACCAGTTAAAGTATCGACTTTTTTTCATTTTTCAAAACCTTTGAAACCTGGGTTAAAAACTGGGCTGTTACTACATATCAATTACATTTACTAGTGGCTTAATTAGTACATTAAAAATAAATATTAGAAATCAATAAAAATAAAAATCCTCCTATCCCAAAAAATCATACTTAGGTACAATTAGAAATTATAACTACATTCTATACGTGTGTGTATAACACAAGCTAAAATTAAACAAGAGAGTTAATAATACAGACTTTATCACAATCAAGTGCGTATTTAAGATTTTTTTCTTAATGAGAAAGAGATGAATATGAATTTATCTAGATGCAAAAATTTGAGGAAACTGGCCCTTTTACTCCTGAAATTGCCTTAAATTATAGTTACTTATAAGAAATATAAATACAAAATATGTTACCAAAATATTATACATAACATATTTCTTTAGAAAAATGTCGTAAAACAAAATTGAATACCTTTTAAAAATTAAGGTATATAGATATGAAAATCGAATAGAACTCAATAAGTTTTTATTAATTCATCCCTATTTGTGCTTTTTTTATATTATTTATCCGAATTCAAAATACAAATCCTAAAACATTACCTCTATTTCGATTTCTAAACAAGTATATATTATGAATACTAAATCAATATTTGTAATAAAAAGTCCTATTATTATAATATAGCATCTATATATTATATAATAAACCTACCAACGAGTATATAATATAAATATATATTTATAAAAATCCATGTTTATCTCTCGAAATCAACATTGGGCATAATATGAGCATTATATTTGTTTTTGTTATTGACGTCTCTCATGGTCAAACGTATGTCTATATATACGCGAATAAATACTATAACATTTTTTTTTTTTTTTGTATTATACAAACCTATACATTTATGGACATAATATAACATATTTCTTTAGAATATATATTATCAAATAGTAAAAAACAAAAAGTTATTGTGAAAATACATCGCCCATATAATCCTATCAGCCAACCCCCTCCCCTACCCCGTAAATACACCACTGACCGCGTCCTATATAAGATATGATATTTGTTATATTATTCCGTTGAAAGTTATTATTAACAGTAAAAATTGAATTAAGTTATTTACTGACTATATTCGAAACGTAGAATCCTATTACTGTTTATTATTTAAATATTGAATTTGGTTGTGGAATTTTGAATAAATTGCATTATACACCACACATATACGAAAAATACATCGGTTCGTGGTACACGTACATTAGAACACCTCAAACATATCCATTTATTATTTAATGTGTACATAAAATGCACATTAGCATCATACGTTTCTTTAAAGAAAGAAAAAAACTACTTGAATGTTATATATTCTCTTAGACTGGCTTAAAATATTTATTTAAATGTAAAAATTTCTTATAAAAAAAAAAAAATATATATATATATATACGAGTATATTAATGTATAAGATTTTTTTTTAGTTATCATCTCAACTAATTTCTTATTTAAATTCTGTTTTGTGAATAATGTAACATTTTAACAACGTATCACCTTTTTTAATTAAAAATGTTGGGAAACACTACTGTATAAACTACTCTCTGCACATAATAAATATATTTTGTGAACTTACGAAACAATGAAAATGAATATCATATTTTATTAAACTTAATAAATAGGCACACGATTTGATGGTTAATGGATTGGACTATGTTTCTATTAGCTATATTAACAACTGATAAGTTTTTTTTTATATTTCAAGTTACATTTTATTCGTCTTTTAAAAGCGCACGTAATTATTTTGTCTAAGCTTATTATAACAACTGATGTTTGCTGTTGGTAAACAAGTAATAATCGTGAAATTTTTTCTCGCTGAAGTCCGATATTTTTGAAACATTACAAACTAGGAAATAACAACAAATTGTATTTCCAAGTAAAAAGGTTACTCGCGTAGGAATTATGATTTGATCAGATTTTTAATTCTCGTTAACGCGTAGTAGGCGGTGGTTCATCAATATTACTAGGAACGCTTATTAAATTTTGGAAGAAACGGATAATAATTGTCCCTATTAACTACGATGCAGAATCTGAATGGATGACGTTTTAAATTTAGCATAAAAAAATGACCTTCACAGCAAACTGAAGATTTTTATTGATCACCATAAAATTCAATATTAATTGTTGTGTTGATGTTTTATGTTTTTATTGTTTGATTTACCTACTGCACGGAGTTATGAGTTATGACACAATTTACTATAGACCTATTGCAAGACACAGTGGTTGAGTAACTCTGGAGTACTAAATAGAGCTCAGATTTTTACGAGTTGAAAAGTATCAAAATATAAATTATATGAAATAAAAATCATTAAAATATTTAACAAATGTGCAAAAAACTTTAAAAAATAAATAATAGTAAAAATAACATAATATACCAGTAGATCGGTTATTTGATAATTATTACTTTACTAGGTATTAAAATGATTTTAAATAAATTTAATTGCTTAACTAAATATATGATGCAATATGCATACTGCTTGATAAAATATTATGTACGAGAAAGTTCACTTGTTATGAAAAACGATAAAATGTATAGGTACCGAAAATGATAGACACAAAAAAATTTAAAGTTATAAATTTCTATTCCATGGAATATTATTTTTATATTTTTGATTAAATAAATTTTGAAAACAGTATGTAGAATTTAATTCCAGTTCTGTACATGCCATAAATATCGAATATTGTCAAAATATATAATAGTATACAATAATCATGAAATATGAAAAAAAATGTTTGTGATTATCTCAAAAGTATTACGATTTGTAAAAAAAATTATAAAGTTGTATAAAAATACGCGTTCTAATTATATTTAGGTATTACAGAAAATATTACATTCGACGAAAATTAAGTCAGTTGGAATTTTTTATTTTTTGCGTGGTCGACAAAGGACTGAAAAACCTTAAAGTTGTACTAGGAAAAACATAGGTATATTAAAAAATAGACCGGAAATAATGTTTTCATGTTATAACATAGTAATAACCGGATGCTCGCTTTTAATCTCGATTCGCTCTCATCGTCATGTACATAATACATTATTATATAGGGGGTTTTCTATTTTTACTCGACGATAAATCATTGTGTTTGAAAACACAGTTCTTAGCTGAGCTTTCCTTATAATATTTTATAATAATTACTGTCTTAAAATGTTTAGAATTTATAAAAGCGAAAAATAAAATGGGGGAAACGATAGATAACTGCTTTACTATAAATGTAAATGTATGAGTGTATCTTGTCAGCATTGAAAAGTCACTGTAATGCATGTGTTAAATTTGAATTCAATCATAAATCATAGAATATGAAAAACGATTCTGAGCTAAGACGGTTTGTCAGCCTATATTAATAAGTATATTTTATTCATCACTATTATAAGTAATAATTTATTTTACTGTTAGTTAGTAATACGGCAAGTTTAATTTAGTTCCCGCAGGAAACATTTTTGCTTAATAATTTAATATTAAATAATCATAATAGTAGGAACGTATCTATATTATATTATTTTTATTAACTTTGAGTCAATACCAACTTATTAAAATACGGCGTGAATAGGTTCTTGGATAAAGCAGATAATAGTATAAAATTAATAATAATGTTTTGAAATGTTCATTATTAAATTATTAAGGTGTAAAAAACATAATAATATAGGTACGTAAACATTTAAAATTTCCATAAAAAACATTTGGATGATACAACAAAATAATTTATTAATTTCGCCGCTTTTTATACAGTAAATTAAAAATTTCATAAAATTTGAATTTAAAATGTCTAAAAAAAAAAAAAAGTTATCAAATAATTTTTATATTTAATTAAACATATACATTTTAAACAACAAAATAATTTGCACATTTTCGTGATTTAAAAAAAAAAAAAATATAAGCTATTGAATTATATTTATAAAAGAAGTACTTTTTTGTACTTTTAACATTTTTAAATAAATGAAATATTAATTGTTTTGTGAGAACGCTTGTATTATATTTTCAAATGTTGATAAAATAACATTTTTTTATCAAAATTTCAAATATCTATAAACAGCTCAAAAAAAGTCAAAATATTTTGAGTTTTACCGTGTATAGGAAATACGTTTATAAACATTTAATAAATATATTGAGCGTGATCATTCATTTTTGAGTTATTACAACTAATAAGATAATAGACTTGATCAAACACTGGTTTTGCATAAAAATTCTCTTTACTTCCTATATTTTTTTTTTTTTTTTTATTATAAAGATTATTTTTAAAAGTAGGTATTTAAAAACGGCTTATTAAAAAATATTTCAATTCATGAAGAATAACAAGAATGGACTGCCATTCATCATTTTCTGCGTGATATTTAAATATTTAAATGTATCAAAATATAAAATATAACATTTTGTTAATAAAATATTCTGATAATCGCAGATAAAATTATGAGTCTATAAATAGCAGTTTTAAACTTTTTCATACAGTGTTTAGGAAATCACGAATTCCATGACGGTCCAGAAGGACTGGCGCCGTTCCTTAAGTCCAAAAACATAAGTTCTATACCAATAGTCGTGGCAAATATAAATACCGAAGACGAACCGAGCTTAACTAATATTAAGCCGTCTACAGTCCTGACGATCGGAGGGCACACCATAGGCGTGATCGGTTACTTGACTCCGGACACGAAAGTAAGCAGTGTAATCAATGCTCAATTGCTTTGTTTAAAATATAATAAGTGTTTATTAATAACATATTATTTTGATGAAATATTACTGAATATTTAGGTGTATTTGTTATTGTTAGATACATGTAAAACTGCATTAATTCATTTTTTCAAACTTTTATTTTTTTTGTAACATTTTATTTTATTTTTTTCACATCATTTGATTTGTCTACAAAAATAATTTGTTCCCTTTTTTTTTTATCGTCAAGTTAACTATGAATTATTTGAAATTAAATTTTTATCCATCGACATTCGAAACCACTTATGAAATATAATTTATTTTGCCTCACTGCCTCAGAGAAGTATATATTGTATTAACACTATATACTATTAAGCATTATTTACAATAAGGATTCATATTCAGAGTAATATTATGAAAATAAAAATGTTTTTCGTCTAAAAAATAAATTATATCTCATAAAAATTACAACCATATAAATGTGTTATATTATGCATTGAAAAAAAAAAACAAAACCAGATAGTAATTAATTGAAGAAATAACTGCTTAGTGGTATCTTGCCTTGTTTTTTTAAGTACCTATCTGTTACTTTAGATATTATAGTAATATTATACATAAAAACTTACCAAGCATGCTCACCTCCATTTTTATTATGAAATTTACAAGTAGGCATTTATACTTATACCAATAAAACCATATTTTCAATTATTAAAGGTTTTATACTATTTAAAAAGTGTCCTATCGATACAAATTGCTTTTTCCAAATTATGTTTACTGTTAATAATAACTTTTTTTTTTGAAAATAATTGTGTAACTGAATCAAAAATTGAAGAAGTAATTTATAATTTATTAAAATGGTTTATGTATTATATAATAAAAATAATTTTCATTTTTTTATTTCAAACATTTATTATAAAAAAATTATATTTACATTGTCTTTTATTAAAAAATAAAATAGAAATTGAATAAATAATAAAATAATACTTAAATATTATTGTCAATCTCTGTACGGGCTATTTAACAAATAAAATATGCTTTATTTCCTATTCTAAATTTTCAGAAATAAAAAATAATAATACATTTATTTACACAATTAATATTTTTTTTACGAGTATTATACTTAAAACATTGCATTGAATTATGAATATTTAGCAAAATTTTCAAGCTTAAATGTTTTCGACTAAATATACTCATAATATTTTAAATATCGAAAACAAGCATTTTAGGTATATTAACAGAAATTATCTAAAGGTGCTGTTATCCTGCAACGTCAATTAATGGAACAGTACGGCGTCATAACTCATAACGCTACTGGGAAATTGTACCTTAAAAAAATATACCAAACCATCAGTTGACTGCAGTTCAGCAAAATCTTCATCGGTTTATTTTTTACCGGTATAAGTTTTAGAAATTTAACGTATGGTTGTTAGATATCTTATTTAGAATGTCCACCCATATTTCCTGATAATCCATTAAAATTATGATTGGTAAACAATTTGGAATAACACAAAAACTAGTCTTTTGAATTTAGATTTAGATTTTTAAAAACTTTCAAAAAAGTCATATAGTTTCAAAAAAAGACAATTTTATTTTTAGAAAAAATTGTTAGTTATTCAATAACTATTGTAATATATATAGTAATGGAATCCGTAGAGTATTTAAAAAAAATGTCTTAAAATATCCTTGTGACATCTAAAAATCAGAATTTTGATAAATTCACTATGGATGTTAAAAATGAGTGCGAGCATGCTTGGTGAATTACCTTATGTAATATACTGTTAGTTTAGAAATTCGAACGTATACTTATCAATTAAATTGTACTTCTATAGTTTACAAATAAAGTAGGCAGAGTTCGCATAACCGACGAAATTCAGAGTGTCAGGACTGAAGTTGCCAAGTTAAAAAACGCCGGAGTGGAGTTCATAATAGCTCTCGGGCATTCGGGTCTCGAAATAGACAGGCGGGTGGCTAGAGAAGTGGATGGTGTAGACGCAGTCGTCGGAGGACATTCGCATTCGTATCTGATCAGTGGTAAGTTTATCGCAACAAGCTAATCGGAAGAATATAGGTAATTACGATCAATTTACTTGAACGATTGGTAGCGAACAATACTTAATAATATAATAAACTGGATAGAATATTAAAAAATGATTTTTTTTTTTTTTAAAAAAATGCTTTTATGACCTTTAAATAATATTATACCGTTCACTTTAGACGGAGAGAGATTGATGAATTTCAGTGTCACAATTTCGTTTTAAACGTTGAGTGTGTTTTATAATATTACGTATATTTAAAGCTTTATCGTGTTGAAACTTAAATATGTACCACGAAATTACTTCGATGAAATTTTTATGAAACAAATTATTTGGTATTTGTCAGTCACGCTTTATAATTATATTAATATGTTTTGTGGCATCTACTTTCTGTTTTCGATTAGATATTTATATGGAAAATGAGGGGGGGGGATCTTAAAATAGTATTTGTGTAGTACTCGAATTCAGAAAATACTTTGATTTTTTTTTATGCGTATAATATTGACAAATATAAATTCATGTAAAACTAATATTCAAACAAAAAATGTTAATTATACAGTATACTTCTATGAGGTTTAAAGCTTTATTAATTAAAATTTGCTATTGAATCTTTTATTTTTTATTTTTTCATTCGATAATTATACAATTTGTACACAGGTATGTGGTACAATAAGTATAAGAAATGTTTTTATTTATTTACAAAGGCTTTTTAGCGTAAGGGAAGAACCATCCAGTGTTGGAACTTCAACATTAAGTTAGGTATAGGTTTTAATGTTTTTAAAGTTTGAGTATTAACTGTCATGTTACGTTACAAGCTCGACTAATACTGTTATTGTACACAAAAAGAGAAAGAAGTGAATTTTTGAAGAATTCACGAAATAATTAATACATTTGATATAACCTATGTCTGTTGATTATTGCAGACGTCGAGCAATATGTAATGTAAATATAAAATGTGTTTGTTATTAAAGTCACGTGTAATTATCAACTTGTTAATAAGTTATTTTATCTTATTTTATTTAGACTAAAAATTAAAATGTATACATTGCACTGTATTGCTTTCTGCAGATGTACCTATATATTATTATTTAATAACGAATAAAAAAAATAATGATGGACTAACGTTCAATAAAACGAGTTTATAAAATATCATCTTAAATAATTAATCATATCTACGATTATATTATTAGTTATTATTATTATTATTATTATACTATCATTAATAATTCGATAATTTATTTACATGCATTCAACTCGGTCCATTTTATAATAAATAAATTATTTATTTAATGCAAGGTGATAAATTCAAGTATCTACCACATATTATTTCGAATAGTTAACTTTACTTTTTCAAGATATTTTTTACACTATTTAATATCATTGCAAAGCAAGATTTTTTGAAAAATATTACTATTTTTACAATTCTTGTGATTATAATTTTTAAAGTTTATTAGATTATCACTTATTGATTATTATACCTTTTTAATTTCGTATTCCTGAGCAAAATAATTTTTGGAGGCTTTAATACATACAAATCTAATTTCGAACATGTAGTGATTAGCTATAATAGTATTTAAAATTTAGACGAACTGATATGAAGCACAAGCATACCCCGTAAAACGTCCTGTTTCGAAGTATGAAATTAAAATTACTATTTATCATAGGTACAAAAAAGTAACAATTTAATAACGAATTTTGCAAAAAAAATTATACGATGAAAATTAAAATAAAAACTTTTCGAAATAATAAGTGCACAATACTTTAAGAAGTAGACATTTAAATGGATCACCGTATATATATGAATTATTATGTACACCAGTCATAACATTCGTATAAAACTAACCTTATATTTAATTAATGTAATTAGTGCACTGTTTGGAAATGTAGTGAACTATTTATTTTTTTTTGTAGTCCGTGTATAAATATTATAAACTTATAGACATTAAAAGAGTTGTAATACGATAGTGATAACATTGTATAATACAAGCATCATCATCTCTAGTAAATGATTGTTAACACGCTGCATTATTAGTATTTATTATACGTTTTTACATGCCTATTGCCTATACTCATAATGTATTGTTTCAAATTATATTGTGGATATAGTCATACGTCAGCTGTATTTTGTTAAGACAGTAAACCTATATCGTGTATATATATATATACACGATATATATATATATATATATATTATATAGACATATAGTTTTATATAATAGAATAAAATATAGAGCCGTGCAGTTGTTTCCCGGGAGAACAACGAAATTATCCAAACCTCGGGCGCATGATATAATAATATCATAAGAAAAGGTTAACAACCCTTATTATTATTATCCGACCAGCACGTTGTGCAGGAGTGAATCGCATTCCGGTAGATCACCTGTTGCGTGTATATACGATATAAAGGTGTGTGTGTGTATATATATATAAATATGTGTGTGTGTATAATAAAACAGCTGTTTCTCAACACCACCCATGGTAGATACTTCTCGCGAGTTCATAAAAAAAAAAAAAAATAAATAAAAAGACGAAAAAAAAATCATCGTTCATCAAACTCGTGTAATATAATTTATAGCCATCAGTTCGGAACATTGAATTCATTATGAATAGTCGTGTGTAGAATAATAATAATATTACATATATACCCCCCTACCTACATCACATACGTCATATTTTGTAATCGAACGTTGGTAATTTACGTTATTGATGTCGGATACACGCGTAGTAATAGTTGTATTCATTTTGCATGCGGGTACAGTTTAAAATGTCAACGAGTATACTCGTAGAGTTTATTTTTGGAGATAAACTTTCGTTCAAATCGTCGTGGTCAAAGAGTTATTTAAAACAAAAAATCGCACATACAAAATGCAATTAATATCGCAATCATATTATAATTTTGCGTATTTTCAGTGCGTTTCAGCGTGTATATGCAGTGTTAGATTTAGCGGTGATGCAGAGAGGTGCACTGGGGTTTAAAGGTTGCAGTTATATTATAGGATTCGGGTAGATATTCTAGATTTTTCAGCTTTGTAAGGGAATAGATTATTAACAATATAAAATAGTGGCCAATAAAAAATAATTTTAAGAAATTGTCCACATCCGTTTATTCCAGTTTGTTATGGACATATTATGAGCCATGATAAGTACCTACCTAAAAGGGCGCCCATATATGGGGGGCATATCCCCCCCTGGAAAATGTTGAAAAATTGTTTACACAAGATCTACAATGAGTGAAAATAGACTTGATGGATTATGCATGATAAGAGTACATAGGGAAAAATTGATGATAAAATGAATGAATACATAGAACAAGTAATAAATATATTTAAAGAAATAATTTACAATTTCTATTTGTAAATTAATATTTTAATAAATTTATGTTATTAATTATAGTTAATTGGTTAAATAATTATTATTTCATAATCTTTCAGTTTGATATATAAAATATAATAGTATAATAATGTTAAATTGTAAACCCCTTCCTATATCACGGGCATAATTAAAATATTGTCCTCCCTTTGAAATTTTTTCTATGGGCGCCCTTGCCTACCTAGTTGAAATGTTTTCTTTTTTAAATCCATCTTCAGTTTTATTAAACACCAACGAATTAACCATTAATGTATCATAAATATTATGTAAATTTTATAAATAATAATTTTACTTCTAAAAGATTAGTAGGTAGTTGCGTCTCGGCCTCCTGAGGCACTGGTATTTGTCTTTAATATAGTGCATTTTTTCTAGTAGACCTTTTTAAAATATTGTTATTGAAAACGTTTATATTTATTGACTGTTGTATTACTGTTAAATATATTTTTTATATAGAATGCACACACCGTACTCGTTTTATTAATAAAAAATAGTTTAACAATATTATCGTATTTACATTTCTCGGCGGTGGCTAATTGAAGATACTTAGTAATTCTCATAATGTAAACTCTTACACAACAAGTTATCGAATTATTGATTTTCGTTGGATATATTCAAACACACTTTTTACGTACCTACGTTCAAAGATTAAGCAGGTGATGAATTTCTGGTACGTCTACCTATATGTTGATAGACAGGCGGGTTGTGTACGAGGACAAGTACGGTGATGTATTATGTACCAATATCAGAGTATAAAATAATAATAGTAATAAATAAATATTTGATCGACTCAGCATAACTATCTGTTTTAAAAATAATTTAATCTCTTTGAAATATTTAATTTATACATAACGAATATGTGTACAATATTATGAAAATTACGTAATTGGTACGCTATGTGGTAGAATATATTATCATACAGGAAATACTCGTCATCGTTAATTTTTAAATTAGGAATTACTTTCTCCTATAGATTGTGTTAAAATCAACTTATATTTTTCAAACGTGAATCTAAATTTTTAAGCATATTATTTATGAAATAAATGTTGATGTTAATCAAAACTATGTGACGAAATTCGGACAAGTTTTTTTGAATTACTTGAATACAATGATACCTCTGAATAACGGACACTCTCAGTCACTGAAACTTCGTCTATTATTCGAAGGTCTCCGATATTGAGAAGTGTTAGGAAAACTAGTGGAGTTATATTTATAGGGGAGGTTTCACTGCAGTGTATGTACTAAAGAGTGAAAATAGTAATCTACGATATTATGATAAAATAGGTTTGATTAAATGAAGTCTATAATGGTTTTAAAATGATAGATAGCTATTAATATTAATATGTATTTTATAATTTGTAAAAATATTTTCAAAGTAAAAAGTTCTAAATTAAGTATTACATACATTTTTTAAGTTCGTTCCCTCAGCTTACAAGTTACAATTAACAAAAGAGTGCAGTTAGAGTAAAAAGAGCTATAAGGTACAATAAATTAATGGAATGGCTTTAAGTACAAATAAAATACAAGTCGTTAACATTAGTTTTGTTTGAAAATTCCAAAGCATTGGTAGTCTGGGGGAAAGAAAATAGACTTTTATTTTATATTTATTGTAAAACTATAATTTAAATGTTATTTCTATGGTCTTTTATAAGCACACAATTAGAAAAAATAATAGTTTAAATTTTGATTTAGATGTTCTAAAATTTTCAAAAAAGTCATGTACTAAGCAATTTTTAGTAAACAGTGTTATTTCTATTTAAAAGAATGCGGACGAAATTTACTTACCGTGGATTTTACTATATATCCCATTACTCTATTTATGTAGGACCACCGCAGGACAACGAAACACCGGCGGGCCCATACCCTATTATCGAAAAAAGAGGTGAACGAATTGTGCCCGTGGTGCAAGCATACGCAAATTCCAAATACTTGGGGAAATTGGTTTTAACTTTCGACAGTGAAAAGCGTTTAATCAGTGCCGTCGGTGAGCCAATTTTACTGGACGAAACCGTTCCTCAGGGTAGGTACAATTAATAAGAATTATATATTGGTATGTAACATAATGCTTATATTAAATATTTGCTTACGCGCTTGAGCGTTCATGAAAAAAAAAAATAACGCTCATCAATTTCAGATTCTAAAATGTTGGAAAAAGTCAAATACTACAAAAGATTAATGGCGGAAAAATTTGTTGATAAAGCCGTCGGAAACACGCGAGTATTTTTGGACGGCGACTGCAAATGCGTGGAAACCAATTTGGCCGATTTGATCGTTGATTCTTTTATACGCATAGTGAGTAATAACGATTTGGGTATACTCAAGTTAGGTTTAATACACAAAACAATCAGATGAACGTATCTTTTAAATGAATTTCTTCCTGGACACGTAACAAATAATCACTTTGAAATCACACATACAAGAATTATATTAAATATATTATATGATATGAGTCATAAATCATATTTATAAATAAATAATGGTTAATAAATCAAATGTGCGATGTAAAAAACATCATCTTCAATACTAATTTTTAATTTTTTCAATATTTGTATTTACGAGATTAATATTTATTAAATGCATAACGTTTCAATATTGTTTGTAATTATTTAATTGGTTTATTTTACTTTCTATAGATTATTTTTTTTCATATTGATTTTCCATATAGGTGCGTTGACCTTTTCTATACTAATACTACTTTTTATTAATATTATAGTATCGATTTGCATATTCTTTCAAGCTTCTAAATATGAATATATATTATACTTGGTTGAGGAAAAAAATTGTTAAATTTGAAATTAAAAATCTTTATTGTACAGCGTACATCTATATTTAACATTTATTTACATAAGAAGTTTTTAATTTAATATTATTAACTATTAAGTATTAATAATATTACAATAAAAATATATTTATAATATTTAAAATTAGTTTGCAAACTACTAAAAAGATATGTTTAATAATTTAACTCTGGTTGCAATTTATGAGCACCTTAAAAAACGATAAATTCCGTACTAAAATTTATGGTCGTTTCAAAAAAAAAAAAAATGTGAAAAATGTCCTAATAACTTGAATAATTTCTTAAATATTTCATGTTTTAAAACGTTTAAACGCTTAAAAAATGAACTTATTTAAAAAAAAAAATGTGAATAATTGCTTTATTACAGTGACTAATTTATATTATGTACAGGTTGTAATAATTAATATTATTACGACGTTTACAATAATTTTAATAGTGAATACTATAAATAGGGTATAATTTTTTCAAAATCTAAGATATAAGCAATTTGAATGTTTTTTATTATTTATTTTATTTTCACTTGTTATATAATAATAATAATATCATGTTTAATTGCAAATACCACTAGGTATAATATTAATTTTAGAATTATAAACGATATTCCATATTTTTAATTTCACTGTCTCCAAGAAAATATGTTGATGAATGTCGAATAGTAAAAAAAAATAATAGTTTTGATAATAATAACACTTACACGTATTGTAATTGAGTACCAAATCGTAAACTACAGATTTTTGTTGTTAAGTATTAGCTACCTATTCAATGTCACTTCACTTCATAGTTTTCTAAAACTTTGATTTTAAAGGTTTACAATCAAAAAAAAAACGACTGGAATTTATTTTAACGTTTATATCTCAGAAGTTTTAATACTTCCAGTAAAAATAAGAATAATATCTATTATTATTATAAAATATTTATCATATTATATTGATAGAATACATTCTAGTAATGGTAAGCATAACTAACATATAAGGTAATAATTTATTCTAAAAAAAAATATTGTAAAACATTCAATATTAAAAATAATATTAGGTTACAAATCATTTTCTACTTAATATTCGTTATTTTTATGAACTCGAATAGTTCAAAAAAATGTTATCGTTTTTAATGAAATGTTCACGAAAATTGGGTTGTTTCAAACAACTTACTCAAAAGACAGATATTCAATAATATATAAGTTGGAAATTGCTGCTATTTTTAATACTTAAACCAGATTTTTAATTTTGTAAGATGTATTTATCAAATTTAAGTAAAATAATAGTTGACGAATGTGTTTTCAATAGTAATTTATATTTTATTTTTATCGATATTTTAGAATTTGAACAAGTTGTTAAAAGACAATGTATCCTTAAGTGGTTGGACCGATGCCGCTGTAGCGATTACTATAAGTAGTTCTATTCATAGTTCAATAAATGCTTCAAAAACACAAGGTAATATAAGATTAATATTTCTAATATTATAAAAACTATGCAATAAACATGTTTTATATATCTCTATATGATAAAGGTAATTTGTCGATCATTTTCACACCCGTTTATTTCTTTAATAAATAATAACTAATAAATATATTCAAACTCTAATTTTTGGAATTTTTAAAGACATCAAATTATTTAAGAACAATTTTTTCAAATACTTTGAATTTTTCGTGCCATTTAAAGGTGTTCGTGTTACCAGTTTAAATAGTTTTTTCAGAAAAGGATTACACTTATTTTCTGTTTATCATTAATCAGATAACTTTTTTTTTTTAAATCTTTATGAATTTCATTTTTTTTTTTTTAATTTTTCAATAGTTTTTTGTACAATAATAGAATTCACCTTAAATTATTAAAACATAATTAAATTATGTTTTACTGAACATTATAAATTCTAGCATTCTAGTACATATTTTGAATTTGATTGAATATTTTCAGTAAATTTATTTTTCATTAAATATTTTGACATTTTGAATCAAACACTTGAAAATTTTGAAATAAAAAAATATAAAAATTAAATTAAGGACGTTAAATTTTAGTGTTACAATTATAAGTAAAACTGATCAAGTCTATTTAAAAAGAAAGTACTGTATAACGTTCTTATATAGTTGAGACCATATAAAATTGTCAAGTAATCTTTTCATATAGAAATATAAAATTTTTTTAAAACCAAACATTCTCAATATAATATTTTAGAAATTTAAATTTAATTGTATTATACACTTATACGTCAATTGACAAAATAACAATAACTTTTTCAAATAGTTACCAAGAAATCGACTATACATGAGGTAACCGTATAAAAAAACAATTCAATACGTAAACTATATTAAATTTTTCAATAAAAACTAACTCGTATAATATAGTTTTTTATTACTGTAAATATTAATTGTTCTTAATGATTTATATAGAAATTTTTGAAAAATCCTCGGTGTTTAGAGATTTTTGATTCATTTACTTATCTTACATGGCTATTCATATTTGAGATTGATCTTCGTAAGCATTTCATTTATAAAAACTATAAAATAAGTATCTATGAACACTTTGGAAAATTCAAATCGCTATCGATCACCAGTAGTTCTCTGTAGTTTTTTTTTTTTTTATTGAACTTAAGCTTCGGCGACTAGGGCCATTAGCTGTAGTTCTCTTTATTAAATGCAACTATTTTGTTAGGTATCTATTTTTATAAAATGTTTCCTTATCATATCATATAATATGTATCACAACATTTGTGACAAATATAACAATCGTTATTAATCTAATATTACTGTTAGATGCCATCTATTTATATGCATTATATATGACTATAGAAGTAAATTATAATAGCTACTTAATCAAACCTAATAAAATAGTATTGTGTTATGTTTATAACGATATTTTTAATTTGCTGCATGAATAATATATTTATTTTTTAAACATTTATATTGAATTGTGTGCCTGTTATTAGGTATTATATATGAAACTGACATTAAAAATGCATTGCCATACAGTGCTCCTCTATGTAAGGTGACTATTACTGGAACAACGCTGTTAAAAGCACTAGAACATAGTGCATCCATGTATGATTATCATAAATGTGCATTTCCTGAACATAATATATACGGAGGTTTCATGCAAATGTCAGGTAAATGTTGAAAGAGTTATCAAAAATATTCATCTCATTAAGTTAAGATAATATAAAAAAAAGTAGGAAAGTGCAAAGTAGGCGTACCGCTCTGCTATACTGTAGTCTATAAGTGTCGAGTGGGTCATTGTACCGGATGTGTTAAATTTTAATTCGATAGTATAACATTTAATTCGAAAAACGGTTCTGAGCAAAGGTCTATCAGCCTGTATTACTAAGTATATAACATGATAATATATTTTTTTTTATATTGCTATTATTTAATATATTTTATTATTAGTAATTAGTATTACAGAAGATTGATTATATTTTTATCGAACATATTGCTTTTTTATCGATATTTAAAGAAAAAAAAACGTATTTTAAATATTTAGAAAATTATACGATATATCATCAATTCTATCATGAACATTAAATATTTTAGTAAATATTTCAAGTATTTACGGTTATTATTTTGTTTTTCCTAATTATTTTGAAAAATATACTAAGAATTTTTTAATTTGAATCCACTAAAGTACCAACTAGATCCAATTATCTACCAAAACTACGCCAAAGTTTAAAATTTAAGCATTTTTATTGTCTCAAAAGTTCATGACCGACACAAAAGAAACAAAAATCATTGTAAAATCAATATATTCATCGGAACGCTCAGAGTCTGAAATATAAGTAAAAATTAGTTTATAACTTAAATTATCTTTTTAAAAGTTACTTTTATCTTTTTTACTTCTAACTTCTAAAAGCTCATCATTAATAAAAAGAACTCAACGTAGTTAAAAATTAAGTAGTTATATTTTATTTTTTCATTTTTTTTTTTTTTTTTAATATTTACAACTTATACAAATTTAATAAAAGTTTAATATTATACGCAAAATCCATATTCTTAATTAAAAATACTACACATGAGAATTATGTTGATGGAAAAATAATAACAAAAAAAGAACAACAACCGTTGTTAGAGTCTTATTATAAAAGTTATATAACGATGCTATTGAAAAATTTGAAATTAATGTGTGTTGGATAAGACTATAATTTTTTATATGCTAACTTTTCAAAATTTAAAAAAAAAAACCCCATTTGATATACTTCAGGTTGTCTTTTTTTTTCGATAATAATTATTAAATTATTTTAGAATTAAGACCAATAGAAAATATGTTAATAAATAATGATATAGATTTTTCAAAATTCTAATAATACTTATATATTTATTATTTTAAAATTTTCGAAATGTATTTTTAATACTTTTTGAATAGGTATACCTATTTATATTTGTACATAAAGCAATTTTAAAGTTATTTTTTATAGTACTGTCAATCTATTTAATCATCACTTATAACAAACCGAATTCTACCTATTTACAAACATGATTTAAATATTTTTATTTATTAAATGTAGCTAATATCGAAACAATTTGAAATTTTCAAAATTGGTCTTAATATTAAATCATATTTTATATTATATAGTTGAACCACATCATAAATGTAGTTTATTATTTTATTCTACCCAAAGTACGGTTTTTTAAATGTTTTTTTTTTTTTTTAGGAATGTACGTCACTTATAACATTAAAAATGCCGTGGGTTCACGAGTACGGTCTGTGATGATTCGGTGCTCAGAATGTAATTTGCCATCTTACGAGCCGATCGCTCTAGAAAAAAATTATACGATAATTATGCCTAATTACATAGCACAAGGTGGAGATCAGTATACGATGATCAGGGATGAACTAATTAGTTTTAAATTTTTAAGTAAGTGTCTATTTTTTTCATTAAAAATAAATACAATTAATCAATAATTAATAACATAATACGAATTAGATGACTAATTAAAATCATCAAATTATCAATACAGGTAAAAAGATAAACCTTTATTTCGTACTCTATTCAGACAATAATATTATGCGTAACTCAACATTATATCATTTCTAAATTGAAATGTTCTATTATTATTTTATCAATTATTATTTATTTTCATTCAAAGTTTTAATTTATAAAAATTAAAAATATCTATTTTGTTCAATACTGACATTAACCAGAAATATAATTATTAATTAAACATGCAGATTTACAAAATTGGACGAATTAACGATTTATTTTTTTTTTATTAGGTTATTTACAATAAATTAACTCAACTTATTTAAAAGATAAAATTTAACATGTTTTTGATATATAACAAAATTAAAAAAATCCAATATGAATTTCGATATTTTTTCAAGCTTGGTTTGAGTGAGTATGAGGTGGTAAATGAAATCGAATTTCTGGAAAACTTCTTCCGACAATCAAAGTTTAGAATTAGAGTTAAACGGTACATATTTTTAGAACCATTTTAAAGTTGCATTGATATTTTGTGAATACAAATTGGAATAAATACGATTATTTAATTATAAATAATTACATTAATATTTTACCATTCTGAATAATTTATATACTTATAATGTACCCATTGAAAAGTGTTTCGATGGATATACTTTACTTATATGTTATATTTAAAACGTAGTTATAGTCACCGATTAATCAGTTATTCAATAATTATTGAACTCGCTTTGAGACCAAAGGCCCACCAAAATAAAAAAGTGTATGCAATAAACATTATTATATTATAATGAAAAAAAAATTTATGTATAAATTTCATAATCAAAATCAACCAAATCCCCAAGTAAAGTTTTGCCATTGGGTGGTTAATTTTCTTACGTATCTCATGGCATAAATATACATGTATGCATGAAGACTTATTGTAATAAATAAATTACAGATTGTTTTTAAAATAAAGTTTAAAAAAATATAAATAAACTAAATTATATATGTATTACAATCAGAAGAAAAACAATAATGATACGATTACTACGAACCAGAACTATTTTTGTATTTTTGTTATTTTGTTATTTATCCAATTACCTATATATTTTGATTCATAGCGTTAAGCGTTGCAGCAAATTCAATAGAAGTTTATTGTTCTAATGAGACAGAACTTGAAATATATATGCGAAAAGTAGAAGTTAGTATGATTAATTATTGTACATTTACTGATTTTATTTTGATAAAGTCTTTGACGTTTTAATGACATCTAAGGTACGTTGCTAATAATGTCTATAAACACAATTAAAAAAAAAAAAAAAAATTACAGCGTGGAAAAACAAGTTTTCAGTATTCTAAAATAATCGGTTTAAGTTTCTAAAATATAAAAACGTGAGTTCTGTGACGTTACTATTTCCACTGGTTGATTCATTTATAAAATACTATTATAATTATTCATGTACCTATCGAAAACTTTGTCTGTCACTATATATTTTTATTTGTACTATATGTTCACTACCTATATAATTTCTGTGTTTTATGTAGACGTAGACTGTGTATATAAGATTAACATCTGGTTTTAATGTTGCAATTATTTCTTTTGTGTACATTTTGCTTTATAGTGATTTTTTTTTCAAAAATTGATCGTATAATCTACAGTTTCAAATGCACATTAATCTGAGAATATTTATTAATTACTCATATCTACTGTGCATACATAAATAATTGTAGTTATATAAATATAGGCATCGCACGTGACTAATGTGAGTTTATATAGTAATTAAATACAAAATTATTTAATAGTACATGCGTAGTAAAACAATAATATATTCCTTACTGTTTGAAACCACTCTAATCTTAAAAAAGATATAAATCCACAGTTATATGTAATATGTATAACAATAAGTATAGATAATATATATATAATATTCTTTACGATTTAAGGCAAACGACGATACTTGCTTAAAGGAAGTTATTAATTGAGCGAATGGTCTAAAATGTACCTGAATGAGAACACATTATTTGGAGGGAGATATTAACTGATCGTTTGAGTAAATCGATCTCTAATTTATTTTTGTATATACCTACTTAAAGTTTTAAACATTAAATCAAATGAGAAAACCTACAGTAAATACGTAAAAAATAAAATAAAATAAAGACTTAATCTCGAAACCAGTTAAAATTATATGTTCAACTTTATTTACAAAACCTATATTAACGAAATTATCTAATGCGATAAGAATATTTAATAGAAACTTTTGAAAAAATATAAATATAGAATGTATTTTAATTTATTATAGACATTAAATACATTGTGTAACGTAATGTCATTTTTTATAATATAGCCTAATACACTAGAAGTAACACATAAATAACTTTATAACATTTTTTTCAAAAAAAATGTTACTTTTAAAGATGAACAATTTTGTTTTATAAATCAAGTAAAAGAATATGGTAATAATAATATATCTAGCTTATGTCAGATTATTATATGGTTCTAAAAATAGAAGGAAAAAAGTATTAAACCTGTTCACGAGGTATCCATATGACTTTCAGCCAAACTATATAGTATAATAATCTTAGCTCGGTCAAACAATATATTAGACGTATTAGGTTCTCATATAAATTTCATCTAATCTATTTTTATATTTTCTCAAACGATAAATAACTTTAGGTAACTTATTTAAATGAAAACCTCCCTGATAAAACGTCATATACATAGTTCTTTGATTAAGAATTACTTTTTATCAAACGCGTGTTAATTATGAATCAGAGTTTTACGATGATTTATTGACAGGTTTATCGCTACACATTATTATTAAAAGTCTATTTATATTGAGCAAATCCTACGCAGTTTTATTCGATCAATAATATAATGTAATATTGTTTTGATTATTATTTTTTTTTTCAGATATCACAGAAACAGAGGCTTTCTTAACGTATGTCAAAGAAATCAATCCAATTTATGCTGGATTAGATAACAGAATCAAAGTATTGAATCATAAATGAAGAGGATTGCATAATATATAATATAATATAATAATAATAAATAGTAAATTTATCGTTTCGACTTATTGCGTTTGCTCCGTCAAGTTTTCATTTTTAGTATTATATATTTATTTAAATCGATTTTTTTCAGTGAATAAAAATAATATTTGACGCTTTAAAAAAAAGTCTTAAACATAATTTCACTAGAATTGTTTAGTTCCTATTCTTTTTACCATTATTTGTTATCGATTACCGCAGTAGGAGACACACGTACAGAAAATAAATCTAAGTGTCGAGCAAATGTTTTGCAACGAACATTGAAGTAGGTAGGTACTAAATCGGTTAGGTTAGGTTGAACAAATAACAAGACGAACGCCCGTCCATTTCGACACTTGTGCGCATATTTATTCGTTTGCGAATGAAATTTCATTGAACTCGATTTCAATGGCTCTTCGTCGTACAAAACGTATAATATATGTCGATACAGGTTGCAGCAGGCAGTCCTTCATTCGCCGTTATTCAATACAATATGATAAATATGTCGTATTATCGTTCGCGTTTATTATAATAATACAATACGATAATATGATATTATACATTGTCATCGACGTAGATCAAGCTGGATCGATCCGTATCATATACATACACGTACGATAAATATTTTATATTTAACTGTAGGTACACCCGTTATTATAATGTATAAGACATTATTCCCGTCCTTTTTTCCAAATCAAAATATCCGAATAGCATTTTCCTCGAAAACACACTTGTTGCAGATGGTCACGACGTTATCGATATGAAAAGATATCGGTAAGACGTACGCTTTTTATGATTATTTCGATGTTCAAAATTTTTTTTTTTTTTTTTGGTGGATTTTTCGTATACAAAGAATGTATATTAATTTTATGACGACATTCGTCTTTTTTTCGTACACTTAAATAATGCTCTGATTTTATCTTCAAAGAAGGTATCTGATTACGAATTGGATCTATAAGTTGGTTACTTAAACTTTTTCTTTCTAAATTATTTTTTCACCGGATACAAATATTATTTATCATTGAACTCAAATTTAATACATCCATTTTCTATGTACTGTAATTGGGCACACTTGCACATTTGACTCCTACTGTAAAGCATACCGTTTACTTACTTTTAATATCGATATAATGATAAAAAAATTTTAAAAAATATTCATATACTTATATATATTTTTTTTTAATCTCCGTTTAATCTTAAGTACTGACGATTTTAAATTTTGACTTTCTAAAAGTATCAACCAGATCCAATTTTCTATCGGAAACTTTCTTCAAAATATGTGGTCATTGGTCAGAGCATTTTTATTCTAGGAATCATATACTTAGACATAAAAAAAACACATTCCATTTTAAATCAATACAATATAATATTGTCTTAACGTTCCATCTCGAGTCTAAAACAATTATAATGTTATTTTTTTGTGTAAATATTATTCAAACTATCCATATATAAGTATATAGAATATTTGCTTGATAATAATAGTAAGTATCTTCACTAAACATTTTACAATGAAGTGCCATTATAGTCCGTTCCAAAATTTGTTTGAAAGGTTCAAAGATAAAATTTGGAAAATACAAAGCATCGTACTATAACGTAAAAGGCAAGTATTAGGCCGGGAATGAAATTTCATAAAAAAATCCTAAAAATAATAAAAATAATGCACATATAAAATGAACTTATTTTTTTTTATTTTAACCAAAAAGTATATTTTATTAAATTTAAAAAAAGTTTTGCAGTACACGTACGATTTTAAGTTTTCTACGTAAACTTTTAATCTGAAATAGTACGATTCTAATTTAATTTTACGTCAACAACCACAATCTCAATTTTGATGTTATACATTTGAACAGTTATGGTTAATAATATTCTATTAAGTAAAAACTGTCTTTGCACGTTCAAAGTCAATTTTTTAAGTAAAAATATTAAAATACAATTTATAATAGCCCGGATTTTAAAGTAGTATTCTAAAAAATGACCTAAAAATTGAATATTTTCAAAAAACGCTAAATAAAAACTTCTTATTCTGATATAATAATACATGAAACGTTAATTATTTTATACGACAAGCATCACATAGTTGGTTATGAAAATCAATGAAAAGCGCATTGACAAACCAACTCTTTATTACATAATAATATATGTCTATTGTCTACGTATTATTTTATCATTTCGTATCCGTCGTCAACCCGTCAATGCCGTGTTCAGGTAACGCAGTCTTTTCTGCGACAATGGCGCATATTCACATCACATAATCATCGATATACTACTGTTTTTACTACTGTACGCACGCATACGTAGGATTTATATTATTATTTTATCGTGCCGCGATCGCACTTGCCGGGGACGACGACGTGTCTCGGGTTTGAGATTTTCGTGTACAGGTGTCCTTGTGTATACAAGTATATCCCTGTCGGGCAGACGGACAAAAGACTTGGTTTACATATTGTGCTGTGTGACAACGACAACGACGACGATATAATTGTGTCTACAATATTATATACAGGGCGATTCGTCGATCATGCTCGTTCAAATTTTTTCATATAACGACGAATTTAGACTATTCGAATTCGGATTTCCGCAAAATTTTTGAGTATGCTTACTTGAGCACTATACAAATTTAAATACTTTTGTTTAATTGGATATAGTTTATAGGATTGATTCCTATCGTGATGGGTACAAATTAATTTTTTATCGTTAATTGTAGTCATGGATTTTATGTATAAAACCAAATTTGAACGAGTATAATTTCTAAATTATTAAACTTTAAAAGGGTACTGAAGATAATACCGATAATATACGCTTAGAAACTATAGTATGTGTGAATCTATGGTGATTGAAAAGTATAATTATCAATATTATATTAATATATTATCAAATTATACTTACAAAAATGTTCTGAGTATAACAAGTACTGAACTGAATACTTTTTATTTTATAATATTTGATGTAAAATCATTATCAAGAATTATTAATTTTAGTTTGACAACTCAGAAGTTATTTATTGAAATTTTTGTTTGTATGCATCAAAACTTCAAAAAATATAATCTGTTTAAAAATGACTTACATTAAAAAAGGAAGGTCGTTTAAAAATAGATATGTAATACAGACAATATAGTTATGTACATTTATTAATTTTTATTGCCATAAAATATTTTTAAAATGGTATAAAAAATCTAAGTACTATAAAATACGGTTTTTAAATTTACTTAAAAAATCTAAACTCAAAATAACCAAAATATTTAAGGTTAAAGGAAGAGGAGTGCGTATGTTTATAAATCACCCTGTAAGCGTGGTTGGTCTGTTTGTCGCCGGCTGTAAAATATTTTTTGTGAGAAAAAAACGCACTAAGATTATTACATTAAAATATAAGAAACAGTTTTTTTTAACTTCCAATGTCGACCTTTATCTAACTTAAAATTAATTTATGTATAAATGTATATAATACGATAAATTTAGTAAAAAATTACGATGACACACTGTGTATGTATTGATTCAAAGGTAAGCAAGTGTTTAATAAAAATAATTAAATCAAACTAAATTAATTTAAGCGAAAACAAAACTGTTAAGTTAGAAACTAACTGGTTGACAAATAAATAATTTAATTCATCCGTTGTAAAGTTATTATTAACCAACTCAGTTAAAAAAAAAAAGATTTGTCTGCATTTGTAATTAGTATTTTCATAGTTCACATAAAGAGTATTTTGTAACAATTGTAACTATCTATATGACTAATGACTAATGATTATATAATATAATATTATCTTATCAAAAAATATAATAAACATGTTATTATAAAATAAATAAATCCAAAAATTAAAAAAAAAAGTTTTCAATTTTAACTTTATATATTATTACTATTTTAACTGAATTAAGTTAAGTTATTGCAACCATCAATTAAACTAAAGGTAAGTTATTAAGTTGATTAGGACTTAAATTAGCTGATTAAGTTGAAAAAAGCTTAAAAAACTAGATCTCTAACTAGTTAATTTCATAATTTGTGTATTATATTTATAATAATATTGTACTATTTTCTGGCTAGGGATTGATTTACGATTGGACATAAAATAAATTCATTATTTCAGGGAATTCAATGCGAAATGAAAATTAATATAGATTTAGTATGATCGGGGAGCATAAGGCATAACAGGAAAGAGAAATTAATACGAGTTTATTATGAACTGCAGCACTTGCACAAACGAATAATGCTCATAAGAAGTACTTGATATGACGTATTTTATGAAGATAAAAAGTTGGCGAAGACCATAACGTAAACAGCGGCGAGCAAAAAAAAAAAAAAATAAAAAATAATGAAAATCAATACTTGTTTCAAATATTGTTTGTTAAACTTTTTACAACACGAGAATAAATTAACTGTAATTATAAGTTGATTTGTATTTTATATATACCTATATCATAATTCATAACTATAGTACATCTTTGAAAAATCGCAGTCTTCTATAAGAAACTTTATCGGCTTCAGGCTTGTATTTTAATTACATCAGGTTGATATAAAGTATGGTTACTACAGGATATGGTAGCGTAGCTTTTCAATAATCAATGAACATAATATTAAAATCCCTACTTCGAAGACTTAATATTATAATCATTACATTGTTATAACTACATACTTCATGAATACCTACACATTATTACTCATTAGACGATTATGATTGAAATGTTTTAATCCTGTGCGTATTGATTCATTTTTTTTCCTAATTATCATTTTCCTTACATTCCTATAATAGGTACCGAATCATAATTCAAATGAATAATAATTTATTATTAAAAGTAAATTTATTATTCTATATACGTTCTAACATCGGTTTTTTTTCAAAATATATATACTGTACATATTTGAGCTTTTTTTTCGTAGGATGGTAAAAATAATACAAGATATTATTGTTATGATTTTTTAATTTAAAATATATACATAAATACTACTTAAGAATTGAGATATGCATAACTATAAACTTAAAAAAAAAATGTATGAATACATTTGTATAAACTACAAATAAACCAAATACAGTAGGGTCTTGTTAATCCGATCGAAATTGGGGAAAGGGATCATTTGGATTAATGATTTGTTTGGATTACTTATGACTTAAAAAAAAAAATCAAT